TAAGAGTTCTTACAAACTCAAGGACTAGTACTGCTTTCGTTTTGTTCTTTAGTCATTTCATCAAAACTATTTTACGATTTGTACACTTAGGGAATAAGTGTAGGTGCTCAAGTCCACGGGACGTGGCCGGAGGATTAGTTGATAGGATCAAGTAGTGTTGGCTAGATTTGAAGGGAGTTCGAATCTTTGTAAGTCCAAACTATGTGTACGAGTGATCTATCAATGAAAGAGCTCTGAGGGGAAGTGGGACGCTTCCCTGAAGAGTTTGTAAATCTTCGGTTGTTTGCTTCCGCAATTTACAATTCTTATTGTTGTTCTTACTATAACTCGCGCACTCCGTGACAAATATACGTTTCACATGGTATTCTAACAAATGTAAATATTTCTGTAGTTAACTATAAGTAGCATGTCCAAAGAAGAGCTTCTCGTAAATATTTCTGTAGTTGGCTATCATAATTTAAAACATAGTATTAATAAAAGTTCATTATTTCACAATATAAGTATATACTTTTTGTAAGAAAGTATGCATGTCCAAAGAAGAGCTTCTCAACCTAATTTTATCGATAATTGTAGTGCAATCACAATTTTTTATTTTATTTTTTTTTTACGATCGGATCAACACAAACTCATGAATATATATGAGGAGACAGTTTCCAAGTTTTTATTATTATTTTTTTTATATCTTTATTTTATTTTTAACAGTATGATCAACAGATAAGAGTATGTGTATTTGCGTGGATCAAAGGGTAAAATATTTCAAAGTGTTGTCACTAATAGTGTAACATTTATCAACAAACGGGGGAATATGAGGACGACTGGTAAACAGTCAAAATCAATTAAAATTGATCAAAATTCAAAATTATTCTTGTGTGTTAAAATGGATTATTTTGTATAAAGTGGATTGAATGTGATGAGACATATTGTAATTAAATAATATATTAAGTATAATCATTAAAGTGAATGTGATGTAAAAGTATGAAAAATATTATGAAAATATAGTAATGCTAAGGAGTTAACTGTTGGCTCCGTTATGGAGTCAACAGCCAATGAGACAGCTTCATATGAGGCTGTCCCACGTTGGAGCCAACAGATGGTTCCTTAGCCTTACTATATGAAAATAATATGTAGATAAATAGTGAATTCAAGGTACCTATGCAGTATAAATAATTGATACGTAAATTAAGTAAAAATAGAATTGATATAATCAAAATTGATTATGACCAATCATCTCCATAAACCATAATCACCAGATTTTACCTTTCATTCACTTATTAACTGTGAGTCTGTGAATCGCCGACTCTTCATATTATTTCTCTTTTTTAGATAAAAACACACACACACACACGAGACGACACTTGCCTACACTGTAGACAATCTATTTCTTGAGAGGTAATCACTAAAAAAGCATTCTTCCATAAAGCACACAGTTGATAATCACTTAAAAAAGCACCTATTTTTATTTTCTTGAAAAAGACGTCCTGAAAGTTGAGAAGTTCAAACCTTTTTTGAAAATATTGAAAACCCGCCTTTTATCTCCAATTTTTCATTAGACTACATAGTTCAATCATTGTCCCCACTTGCTTTACCTGTTTATTATTATTTTTTTTTTTAAAATTTCAACCCCTTTGCGTTTTTTCATTATTGTTTCGTTTTTGTTAAAAACTAGCCGATTTACAACCCTAAATCGGAGGCATTTTTATTTTCGTAGTTTTAGAAATTTTCGATTACGTCGATGCCGGTAAGGTGCTTAAACTTGGTTCTCTGTCGTTTGTTTGTTTGTTTGGTTATTTTCTGGTGGATTTATGTAATTTGCGTGGTATTTTCTTGTAAAGTTCCTACCTTTGAGAACATTTGTTATGCGTAGAAGGATAAAGCAAGTGGGTTCTGACATAAATGGTTGAAACTTGTAGGTGACTGGAAAATTGGGTTCCTGACTCTATTGTTAGATTGATTTCCAAAAGTTCATCCATTTAACAGCTGATTGAACACATCAAGCACTCATTCATGGAGTTCCAGATTGAACCAATCGAGCACGAAAACAATTTAAAAACGGAGCTTAAAAATCACCTCGTACAACATGCTTCGGCTAAGAAGGAGGTCCGTCCAGTGGAGAGAAGAAGTATGGGCTTACAAGAGAGGTTTAAAATTGAGTACAAGTTGGAGAGAAGTATGAACAAGTGTACAAAACTGGAAGAGACCTTAAACCGGGTGAAGGAGGAAAAAAAGGAGTCGCTCAATCGTGAGAAAAGGGCTTTAGAGGAGCGCGATAAGACTTTTGCCGACAATATGAAGTTGACAATTGAAAATAACAAGTTGGTCCGCGAGTTGAATGAGAAGGTTGACGAGCTCAAGAGCAAAAGTTTGGAAATTGAGAGGTTAACAGCAGCTCATGAGGAGAAACGTAAATCTTTTGATCAAATGACGGTGAAAATGAACCGAGAAGTGGAGGATTTGAAGAAAGAAAAATTAGATGCTTTGAAGAAGTTGGGGGACTTAAATGGAGAAATCACTCTGAAGAATAAGACGATTTTCGAGTTGAGTGAGAAGGTTAATGAGCTGAAGTTCAAAAACTCGGAAAACGAGCGGTTAGCCGGAGCTAATGAGGAGAAGTGCAAATCTCTTGATAAAATGGTGGTGAAAATGAGGCAAGAAATGGAGGAATTGGGAGTGGAGAAATCCAGTGCTTTGAAGACTGTCGAACAATTGAGGGAGGAGATTTTGGAGGTGAATAGGACTGTAGATGATTTGAAGCTTAAAAACTCGGAGTCTGATAAGGTGGTCGAGCTGTACAGAAGGCAGCTTGAGAATCTGTGGCCGAAAATCGAGGAGATTAAGGAGGATCTTGTTGGTATGGTGACTACGAAAGCAGGAACTGTGGCTGATTTGGTGAGTGGCGTGGCCAAGCTGGCGAATCGGGAAGAAAGTGGAAATTTGGATTTTCGTGATTCTAAGGGCAAAACGGGTAGCTCGGGGAATGGAAATAGTAGAAGCTGCAGATCGTTAAAGAGAGGTTCGTATAAGTTTTTGATGTGGTTTTTTTCATATGTGCATTTGGATGATGATGTTATCTTTATTTGGATTTCGAAGAAAGTTAAGTTTTTTACATGAGCTTGTTTTAATATATGCTGCAATCTTCTGTATAATAGTCTTTATCTTTGCTGTAATGCTAATATGCAATGCTGAAAATTTGAAAAGATCAAGCCTTTAATGGTTAACCTGCCATTGCCATACAAGATACTCACCTCCTGAATTAATTTTACCGAATCCGATCTTTGGCGTCAATTTAGTGTCGATTTTGGAAACTCTCTTGTTTGCTTCACTTTGTCAATCGTTGCCCTATCGAAACCTGATTTATTGGCACGCGTAATGAAAATGTACACTATATCCTTTTATATGCAAGTCACTCGAATGTGAGGTCATGCTATTTTCAGCAGATTAAAATGTAACCTGTCCTGCAAGATGTTTAATGTTATAGCTGAACAATGTAATATGTAATAAAAAAGACCGATTTAGTTTCAAAAGATTGTTTATCCATAATCGAACCACATGTTATGGATGCATGGCTACAGGTGGTGAAAGCTTGGTGAAATGTTCGACTAGAGAGAATAATGCATGTATAGTAAAAACTTCTTCTGGTTCACTGTTGAGTCCCATACCCCCTCAACCGGAAATCAATGGGTGTAAAAAGCTACTCCATTCAGGTATGGGAAGTAAACATATCTCAAGGGTTCATATATGTTCAATTATTCAACTTATACATATTGGGTTTTGCTCAGATTCTGATTTAAGTCGATGAATCGATAAAAGAAGTAGCCTCTGGTTTTTTATTTTTGATTTTGTTGCTCCTCTTTTAATCTTTTTTTATGTTTCTTGAAATCTAAAGCTTCTGATAATAGTCGAACAAAGGCTTGGATTCGAAAGTTTTTCAACTGAAAAGGGGGGGAAGAAAATCCCCCGGTTGAGTGTCTTTTAAATGAGTTTTGGTAGTTTATGTTCAAATCTTTCGTGTTGATAATCGAACTAGAACAATACAAAGTACTTCTTGGATTTGAAAGTTTTTCTTTTTTCTTTACATGTTTTTTTTTTTGAGGCCCAAAATTAAATTGAAACCATAAAATCTTAAAACGGTTAGTAGTGTATGCACATTATTCGAGATCACTTGCTTACACGCGGCGAGTTCTCACTAGTATATGCGCATGTTTTTTCGCAGGCCCGCATGCTAGCAACACGCTGTTGTTAACTGGAGGAGGGCATTTTGGTGAAATCACTCAGCCGCCTTCGGCTGCCAGAAAGGTTATCGAAATAATCGACCTCGAGGATGATGTAACCAAACCAAACGGGTCATCAAACGAGACAAATCCTGAGAAGGGCTCGTCATGCGGCAAGAGGAGAAGATCGGGTTTCATGGAAGAATCATTTTCGAGTTTGACTAATAAGTGGAACAAGAACACGAACACGAGCCATGAGAAGAAAAGCAATGCTTTCAAATCGAGTTGCGAGCCAAAATGTGATTTTCGAACGCCTAACAAGAAGTTTCGACTAGGTGATAATGAGGGTTCGAGTGGTTCGGAGGGGTCGTGCACGGACTCGAAAATGGAGGCCTTTGTTGAGTCGGTTCAACGTAAAAAAATAAAATTAATAATTTAAAAATCTGGTTGAAAAAAAAAATGAAGCTTGATGAGTTATGTGAGCCTATGATGTAAATTTATCTTTTGGACTAGTTTGACCTTATCAGATTCTACCTATGATGTAAATTTATCTTTTGGACTAGTTTTACCTTATCAGATTATTTATTTTTTGTTGTAGTTTGTTGGTCTGTGTCTTTGTTATTGTGTTGTATTTACCTAGGCCCGTCTTTTGGCACTGATGGAGTTGAATGATTAACCTGGGTGGGCTCGATCGCTTATTGATTGCCATTCGGGGTGGCGGTCAAACAATTTCATTAGTGTTGCGGGAATGGGATTGTCGTGTTGTGTTATTTTGTTGTTTAGCTTGTAGTAGTTTCTCCCGTAGGGGAGTGTGTTTCTCCCGTAGGGGAGCTTTTTCTCCCATAGGGGAGCTCTTTCTCCAGTTGTGGAGTTTCATTGTGTTATTTTGTTAGTGGGTGCATTCTAGGCGATCCTTTGGATCTGTCCTCCCACTAGATTCAGCTTTTGAGCTGTCTTTTCGGCTTTTGAGCTGTTTTAGATGTATTTATGTGTTTTTTGATATAAAATTTCTATCGTTTTGACAAAAAAAAGATATAGTGATTGTTAGGATTTTATAAATTTATGAAAATATTTCTTAAAACGTATTTTTTTTGTTTTACATATTGTTGCTAAAATGTGTCAGACAAAAAATAGAAAAAGGATACCGATTAGAGCATCTTCAATAGTCATTCTATTTCTCTATTTTGTTGCCACATGGCACAAATAATCTTATGTGGCTTGAAAAAATTCTAGAAAACTTTCTAGATGTAGAAACCTTTTTAGACAACTTCCATTGTATATTAGCATATTTATTTAATTTATTTATCTTCTTCAATCAATTAAAATTTTACACATCACAAATGATACCACAATTAACATCAACCATTGGAGACATAATTTTTTTTGTTTTCATTCTCCATGCCATACAACACAAAATTGACCATTTTCCATTGGAGATGCTCTTAGGTTATTATAAATTTGATAATAATCATAGATCCAATCCCACATCAAATCATCATTTTTTTTTAAAAAAAAAAAGAATCTAAGAGATAAACTAAAATAAGTCATGAAATTCGGACGTTCCACTTGATTTAATATAAAATACGTTTGTTTCAAGTATATGTGCAAATACCTCATATTTCAATTTATTTACCAGAAATAATATATAAATAAAAAACCTCCCCACAGTACTAAATACTATAATATATAACATCATGTATTTTAAAAGAATACTAGTATTTATTTACTACATATGAAAATTTCAAAAATAATTTGAATTTTGAAATTTGAATATCATAAGCATATATTATATTTTCTTCATATAACATTAATTGTTAAATATTTTTTTATCCATGATTATCTATCTACAAATCTCATATTATGTGGATTCTTGGTACCTATTGTTTTGTAACACATCATTTTTCATCTCATACTCAAATTACAAATATTAATGCGTTAAATATCTCATATTTATTAAATTTATAAATATATATATTTATTTTAAGAAGCATGACGATTCATGTAATTATTTTTATCATATATCATGTGTTGGATGTTATTGGTTTTGTTGGGTACACTCATTATATTCAAATAAATAATATATAATTTTTTATATTTGAATTTATTTTGTTGCAATAATGAGAGTTAAATATAAATAATTATGTTTAAAATAAAATTTTAAAAAAGTTTTAAATAATAAGCCCGTACGTCCGTGCATCGCACAGGATGCACACTAGTTTATTTAATTAAAACAATAAGAACAGAGCAAAAATTTATCAAACAAAAAAGAAAATTCAAAATAATCAAAAAATATAAAGTAAGTATAAGAAAATATAATATAAAAATTAAATTGAATAAAATTAAATGTATAATTTAAAATAATAAATAAATAATATTATTATTTAATATAACAATGAAAGGATACTTTCTTTAAATAAATTAAAAATATACATATAATATAAATTTTAGGCAAAATTGCATATAAAAGCACCACCTTTTATGTTTTTGCATTTTAATCACGACCTTCTCATATTAGCACTTAAGTACATGACCTTTCATCTCTTTGCAAGTCGAAGCACGACTTTCATCTCCGGCACCAATTAAATGACGTGGCCTGCCGGAATACACATCTGGAATTTAAAAAAAGCGAGAAAAATGCAAAAATAAAATCCACGTCGTTTATTTGACACGTCGGTTGCACCAAAAAATTAAAAAACGAGAATCTAAATTCCACGTCGAGTGCAGAAATCTTAATATATGTCACCCTCTCATTCTCTATCGTTCACAAACAGAACCATAATTTTCTTCTTCAATTTCTGTGAATATGGCAATAATGGCAAAGTTCTTGTGAATCAGATGCTTTTTTTTTTTACAATATGGATTTAATATTTTTTATGATTTGATAATATAAACAAATCTATACTTAACTTTGACAAATAAAACAAATAAATACTTTAGTAAGTATTTAATGTATATACTAAATAGGAATATATTTGGTAAAATCAAATACCAAATATAATCAAATAAGTCAAAGTGTACATTTTTATTTGGTATTTAATTTTTTTATTATTAAAATCTTTTTATTATACTTACCTTTTTAAAATAAAACAAATAAATAAATCAATTAAATAAATAAAATATTATAATACCAAAATAGTAATGACATTTAATGCAGTTGACTTTTCTGGATAATCAATGTAGTAAATAGAATATCTTTTTATATAATATAATACGGAAATAGTAATGCAATAAATGCTGTTGATTTTTCTAGCTACTTAATTTAGTAAATAGTACCCCCTTTAATATAAGTATAGATAGATTAGATATATAGGTTCTTGGTTGTGCATCGCCCACGACACTGTTCAAATTGAGTAAAAAAACTAGTTTCTAACCCGTGCATTTGCACGGCAAGCCATATGATATAGGAAAAAATAATAAAACAATTTAAACAATAGTAACAAATCATAACATAATCATTGAAAAAAAGAGAAAGATTTAAGAAAGAGAAACCAAATATTATGAAAAAATTCTTTATAGACAACGTTTGTGGTTTTTCTATCGTCAGAATCTTCATCACCACAAATCATAATATTCAAACCCCTCCGACTGGTAACTTTAGCAAGCACACGTACAATTGCCCATGATTAAATGTAGGGCTTTTCAGTAGTAAGCCGACGTGCGACAAGACTGTCCTTGACTCTTATTAATTTCCATAGCATAGGAAACCATGAGAGGGAACTGCCTACGCTGAAACTTGAACAGTACCCTCAAATCGGATGGTATGATTGTGAGCCTAGTAATAAGAACATTATCACCAGCTATTAAACTTAAAGATGTTATGGTTTTAGTTGTCTAAATAATCTAATTTGAAATTGTAACTAAATATCAATTAGAAAAGTATTTAAGAATTTAACAAATAATACCTATAAGATAATATATAAAAATAAATGTTGTGTTTACTTTTACCCAAATAAACAAACCAAGAGGCAAGTTATTGGGCCGAATATAATTATTGGAGCAGCATTTACAACATTAAAATATATAAGTGTAATTGGGCCGACATTTTAAGCCAAAAAAAAAAAAAAAACATTCTAAGAACCAAATTGGATATATTTAACCAAACCCGTATAAGCTCTATTTATGAGCCTCAAATGTATATATTTAACACAACCCATTTCTCGAACTTGTTAAAATCCGGTCAGGAAAACGTAGTTCATTTTTCTTTACGGGTTTGAACTTTAAATAGCAGGAAACCCTACTAACACGTCAATATCGCCATTTCTTTCGATTTTATGTCGGGGCATCTTTAGTATTTTCTCTCTGACTCAAAACGAACCCTATTCATTTTTCTTCAACAGCTTAACAAATCTTTTGTTTCTATCGGCGATTAAAGATCGAAATATCAAGATCGTCCCAATTTTACAAAACCGTTTTACTAAATTATAGTAAATCGGTCCAAGTTGGGGGATAACATCATAGATCTGTTCAGATCTACAGTTTTATTGTTTTTAATTCTAATTTTTATTTGTTTTTCAAGTACTTTCAGCCTTTTTTATTTATTTATTTGTACATGAGAATTGGCCCAGGAGGGTTGTTAGCCACTGTTGCTAGCACATAAATTACTCGCCGCGGTTTTTCCTCCAGATTTTGTAAATATATGTAATAATACAATAAAACATTTAGTTATCTAAGATTATCAAAAGTTATTTGTTCCGTTTTCCTAAAAGAATTGTAAATAGTTAACAGATCTAGTAAGAACTTAACCAATTTCAATTTATTTTTTTAAAAACAAAACGTATATTGACTTTCAGTAAATTATTTTTATTTTATCTATAAAACTAACATATTTGGTACAAAAATTAATTTTTATTTGCATTTTAAATAAGTTTATAAACAAATTATAATATATTTCAATGTTTTTTTTTTTTTTGAATAATTCTGTATACGTTATTGTATACATGATAGATTAACTTTGAGCGGCGGTAACAGAAAACAATGATTCAACATGAAGTAGTAACAAAGGTAAATTCATTTTCCAATTTAATTTGCTTTCATTTTGTTTTTTATATGTCAAAAGACTAATATTTTTACTGTTTGTTTTACATATATATGTGTTCGAAATAATCGCATCTAATGTATGTTAGATCTGTTTACTCTACTGTACTTTGAAGATGTATGTTATATCTGTACGAAATGATCTCATCTAATGTATGTTAGATCCAATGTAACACATACATACAGTCATTCTTATCCTACTCACTCATATTTATTGTAATCTGAATCTCTGAATTTGCCACCTCTTCTAGTATTTTTGAGTTTTTATTTACTGTTACTGATGTTCAACATATATATCTTCGAGTGGATAAGAAGACAACTGAAATCACTTTGAACACATCAGATAAGTAACATTCATTCTAAAGTACAAAATATCTCTTTATTATATTACAACATTCTAGTTATTATTGGAATCGTGCTGCAGTGGATGAAGAAGAGTGTACCATCAATACACAACATGTAAGATCTTTTGAGTGTATGGAGCAGCAAAGGTATTTATCAATATATATCACCGAAATATTTTACTGATGGCATTATTTCCATCTTGT